ACTTTTACTAAGTTTGGCAATATTTTCTTTTTATTTACCCTCCCACTAATAAACTTCAAACCAAATTCCTATATAAGCGGAGCTACTACTTTTTTAAATTAGAAAGGCACGGGAGCCACTTCTTACTTAAGAAAATGTTATTTGCACTCAATTTTTTATTATTTGCAATTCCATCATTTGTTTTATCATATAGTCTAATTATTGAAACTTATATGATCAAAATGATTATTGGAGTGTGAATAACAAAAATGGAGTGTAAATAATCTTACTTCTTTAAATTAATAAGAAAGCATGAATGGATGTTATATTTGTTATCTTTTCTTATGGTCTTATGGAAGTTTTAATTGTTGTAAAATTATAAATAAAACAAGGTAATCGGAAACGTGATGGGTTGAAGTTCAACACCCCCTTAACTTTATATTTAGCTGCACTTTACCCTTCAACTTTACATTTAGTTGCACATTTGTGATTTTTTTGAAACGTGATTGTAATTTGCAAAGCTCATTTGTAGGGGTGGTTATAGGGTTAGTTTGGGGATAAATATTTTTTAATTATAAAAATTTAACATTGTATTAAAATAGCATATGAATAAGCATTTGTCTTTAATTAAGGAGTAAAAATGATTTAAAGTATAAATAACAAAGTATAAACAGTTTATGAAATAGATAGTGGAAATGTTTTAAATTTTAAATTTGATTGGTGATAGGGTTAGTTACAACCCACTACTTTTTATGTATTAAAATAAATACAAAAATTTAGAAAAAAGAATGAGAAGTTTAGAAGCCATTGAGAGGATCTCTGATAAAAAACCCCTTTCTCAATACATATAGATATAGATAATTAATGATATCAAAAGTTATCCTTAGTGTTTGGGTTTTGCACTTTATTCAAATCTATTGTCAAATTTGGGCCAGATATATGCAAATTAAGTAGTATTTTAGAGTTGAATGTTCTATATCTTTCTCTTAAAATAAAATATTACTTTTTTAAAAAATTTTTTGGTAGAATTGGTGTTGTTATTATCATTATTTTTTTTATCAAAAATGAATATTTAAAAAAAAAATTCACGTTAAAAGGCTAGTGGTACTTTGTTTTTTATTTAGTGATTTCATAATTTAGATTTCATGAATGGTACCATTCTTAATTTTTTAAATCCACGACACTATTTCCTTTTTGTTTTCTATTTAATTTTGCCCTTTTACTTAGGAATGCTAAGTTTAAAGATAAAAGATTATCATTTACTTTTTTACTTTTACTAAGTTTGGCAATATTTTCTTTTTATTTACCCTCCCACTAATAAACTTCAAACCAAATTCCTATATAAGCGGAGCTACTACTTTTTTAAATTAGAAAGGCACGGGTGCCACTTCTTACTTAAGAAAATATTATTTGCACTCAATTTTTTATTATTTGCAATTCCACCATTTGTTTTATCATATAGTCTAATTATTGAAACTTATATGATCAAAATGATTATTGGAGTGTGAATAACAAAAATGGAGTGTAAATAATCTTACTTATTTAAATTAATAAGAAAGCATGAATGGATGTTATATTTGTTATCTTTTCTTGTGGTCTTATGGAAGTTTTAATTGTTGTAAAATTATAAATAACACAAGGCAATCGGAAATGTGATGGGTTGAAGTTCAACACCCCCTTAACTTTATATTTAGCTGCACTTTACCCTTCAACTTTACATTTAGTTGAACTTTACATTTAGTTGCACATTTGTGATTTTTTTGAAACGTGATTGTAATTTGTAAAGCTCATTTGTAGGGGTGGTTATAGGGTTAGTTTGGGGATAAATATTTTTTAATTATAAAAATGTAACATTGTATTAAAATAGCATACGAATAAGCATTTGTCTTTAATTAAGGAGTAAAAAGGATTTAAAGTATAAATAACAAAGTATAAACAGTTTATGAAATAGATAGTGGAAATGTTTTAAATTTTAAATTTGATTGGTGATAGAGTTAGTTATAACCCACTATTTTTTATGTATTAAAATAAATATAAAAATCTAGAAAAAAGAATGAGAAGTTTAGACGTCATTGAGAGGGTCTCTGATAAAAAACCCCTTCCTCAATACATATAGATATAGATAAGAGTGTAAAACCCAAACACTAATGATAACTTTTGATATCATTAATTATTTTATGGATTCTTATTGCTATCTTCATTTATAAATATGTATTTTCTATGTTAAAAAATATATATATTTATATATATATATGAATTGATTGTAGTACTTGAGGATATTATAGATATTGTCAGTTTTTCATTTCCATTTTTAGATACTAATAATTGCAACCATTGTAATTAATTTTCAATTTTATATTTTTATTATGATAGGTAAAGTTAAATATATTGGATCGTAGGAATATGAATTTATATGTTAGGTACAGGGGGAGGAGCGAGGGAAGAAAATGGTGAGGTGTTAAAAAGTAGCAGGAAAGGTTGAAAAAGAAATATGGATTACAATGATGGGCGGAGAAGGAAGAGAAGAAGAAAGGGGATTGCAGGGATATGACAGAGATGACAAAAAAAAATAAAAATAGAAAGGGTGGTACCATGATAGAAGGTATGAAAGTCGTAGGAGGCATCTGATGACTAACTGGCGTATAAGAATAGAGAGAAATGATAGTGATTTTTAATAATTTTAAGAACACTAAAAACACATAGTACGGATAATTTTCTTTAAAATATACGTTAAAGTTTATGAAAAATGCTAATCAAAATACATTCAACAAATTTAGGGGCACAAGATAGGAGAAAGATCTTTTTTTTTTCTAAAAATGGAAGAAAATAAATTGGTTATAATTTTTTTTTTGTATTATAAGTTTTGATATATGGGTATAACATAGTAATATGTTTTGTTGGATATTGATAAATTGACTTTTTTATTGATATGGATATTGATAATTAAGCATGCACTTATTTAAAATTTTTATTCTATATATATTTATTATTTTGTAACACAATATATAAATATATAAAATATTATTTTGATTTGAAATGTAACCTGTGCATAGCACGGGTCAAAACACTAGTATATATGTATGTATGTATTCAAAGCCTATTTTCACTCTTTTTTGTTGGCTAGTTTAACTATAAGTACTAATAAGGGATCTATATCTATATCTATATAAATTTGAGAAGGGATTTTTAGCAACAAACCTCCACGCACCTTCCCACCCTCAATTCTATTTTTCTAGCATTTTAAATTTAATTTATTTCATAAAATACAACATGTCCATATGTGAAACACACTATCATGTTTCCATCAAATAAGAATTCTACTCCAACTAACATTCCTCCCTTCACATACCTTCATACTCCAATTAATACTCCTCTAATTAACAATTCCACTCCGATTAAATTTCCTCCAACCCAATAATAAAAGATAACAACATAATCGTGGACAACCATGTCAATCTGATTTTTGAAAATAGTGTATATCCATTGCAATGACGTAGTCGACACTATTGTCAAGTGATTATTTTCATATATCTTTAATTTTAATTATATTTTTTATTTTATATCACAATTTCCTCTTATCAAATACAATGTTAACATACAAGTTAGAGATCCCGGTGGTAACCTATACCTCGCTCTTCAAGACAGGCATGCATGATTCATATTTCGTTATAATTCTTCTTATCTTAGAGATTTAAAAGGGAAGGTATAAATTATTTATACGTATATATTTTTATACAATATTATTTACAAACTTTCTAAAACAAATGATAATTCTAAATTCCGTATGCTCTTAATTGTTAGGAAAATGGAGGTACATTGTTTGACCAACACATTATTCATGTAAAAATCGTGCATTCTCATTTATAGTACGAGATTCACAAAATTCAACAGAATTAATTAAACCCCCAATACTGGCATTCGTACTCAGAATTGATTAGTGCGAAGAATGTTCCTACCTTCATGAAAGATTATCAAATCAAAGGCAAGATATTTGTAAGTATTTCATTTACTTATCGAATTAAATATTCAGTTACATTTAATTGAACCCTTATGTTGCTCAATTTATGATATAGATTTCTACTTCTTTTTTTTTTTCAGGATCCAACTTCCATCAATGTGGTAGTTTAAAAATAATGAGAATGTTTTTATCATATATTGAACTATTGCTACAAAATCTCATTTTTTAACTATACTTTTGTGTACCCTAAATTATACGAACAATTACATACATTTATTACTCTTTTCAAATTCCTCCCTGGGTTATAATTTTTTTCCAAAAAAATGATCTACTGTGAGGTGTTTAGACTAGTTAGTTTAAATTGTAAGCATTAGGGCAAGGACTTTGAGACTGAAGAAACACTTCCTTTAATTGATGATGTGTTGTAACTGAAGAAAAATGTATAATGTATTTTGATATACTAAAAAATTTGAAACCCGTTTGAATTGCTATTTTTTTAAGTTTTTATAGAAAAATATATTGTAATAATTTGATATATATGAAGTAAAAATAATAACATGCATTCATCAACTTCATATCAACCTGACCCGTGCATATGTCCGCATGACTTTATGTTCTTTGTTTTTTTCATTTTTATCTAATTTTCAAAAGTTATCTAAACAAAAGTTTCGGTTTGGTTCCCAATTTAAATTCAAAAAACCATCTCCAAATATTTTTTCAGTCAAAAATTGGACTCCATTCCACTGGGATTCTACCACCAGTAAATCTAAAATGAAACAAAATAAAAAATCATGATTACTCATATAACCCCCAAAAACCATACATATTCCACGGAAGAGCATGTGATTATGTGAATAACAATTGCAACCCAGAGTCCTACGAATGAATACTCACTGGGGCATTGCATGGAGTACTTGGCTCTAAATATTTTGTTTTATATCTACAGCTTATATTATATCCACGCCATACTTTGTTGCGCTGCTGGTACTCCACGTCATCCAATCCATCCCTATGACTTTTGCCCTTTTTTTTCATTATCCTTAAACTGGCAATTAAAACACCAAAAACGTTACTCACGTCTTCTCACCTTGGATTCATCGTTTTGTCCGTTTTCCAATTTCCTCGTCACACTTGGCATCCTTCCCCGCACTCTTTCTCTTGCTTTGTTACACCAACTGGACCACTGTACTTACTTGTCCCGTCAATCAATTCATCCTCCATCCCCAGTCTCTTGTTACAGAAACACACACTACACACAATAACAGACACACAAAAGAACCTGAATGGCTACATTGCGAGTTCCTGCATCTGTACCTCCTGCAGATGAGGATTGTGAGCAGCTTAGGAAAGCTTTTGCAGGTCCCTTTAATTTCTTTCTTTCATTGCTGATCAAATCTGTTATCTTTGATTATCTGTAATTCTTATGGTAGTGTGTAGACGATCTGTTAATTTTAGATGTACTATGCGAATTTTGGCAGTGGCCATTTTAGTATGATGATTTCAAAGAATGTTTTTCTGGACTGGCTTCAATTTTGAAGTTTTGAACATGATCCTAGTAAGGTTTTTAAAGATCTAAGTTTTTTGGGACTTTTGATCATCTCTCGATATGATTAATGATCAGTGTGTTTTGCTTTCGGTAGTGATATAAGCGTGGTTTTATCCTATTCAATTTAAATAGTGTGATCTGTTGGATTACATGGTTCAGGGACTCGGCAAAGTCTGGGTTGACTCAACACCGGAACGGAATTCTCCGATGAGATACCCGGACGAGTTGACGCCGAAATAATAAATTGCCGAGACTTCGGTCGAGACGGATAGAAACAGCCGAGTCGCCTGAGTCATCCGACAACTCGAATTTTTATTATTTTTGCTAATTTCGTAGTTAGCCAATGTCCTCCTATATTGGAACCGTGTTGTTCCAATTTGTGCTGTTACTATCTTCTTTCTACTAGTTGTTTCTCTGTTGTTTGTGTGTAACAAAATGTACTACTATTACCTATTCTTGAAGTTCTTTAGGAAACTAATGCACTAAGAGGCCTTTTGCCCAACTTGAAGGAAATTTTGATAGAAATGGAGATGATTGTAAATATCATACCTCTTGCTTTGTATTTGACAAAAATCAGACATGAGGTGTTTGAATATATTACAGGATGGGGAACAAACGAGGACCTAATTATCCAGATCCTGGCTCACCGAAATGCAGCACAGCGTAAGTTGATTCGGGAAGTATATGCTGCAACTTATGGAGACGATCTTCTGAAAGATTTGGATGCTGAACTTTCTAGTGACTTTCAGGTGACCTTCAGACTCTTATGCTTCGTTTGAAACCATGTGAAAACATGTGTCGTTCATTTCCCAACACAGGGCTTTATGATTTATTATCTCGCTTGGTACTTCAGTTTTGTGTGTTTCTATTATCACCGTCTTTCCTCCTCTTTTTCCTTGTTTTCTTTGATTTGTTATCATCTAAAATAGTTTGAATTGCAAATGTTATGCCCTGGCTGATAAGACTGACATTGTAGGCTCTCCATTAGCATTTAAGGACACTTACGTGCATGTTCAAAACAGCGTGCAGTACTGCTATGGACACTTGATCCAGCTGAGCGTGATGCGCTCTTGGCTTATGAAGCTACAAAGAGGTTGACTGCTAGTAATTGGGTTATCATGGAAATTGCTTGTACCAGATCTTCACAAGATCTCTTCAAGGCGAGGCAGGCCTATCATGCTCGTTACAAGAGATCCATTGAGGAAGATGTTGCATATCATACAGCTGGGGACTTCCGTAAGGTATTACAGGATGCTTTCCATTTACTTCAGTTGTGTGATCATATGAATTTGATTCAACAACCTTTCCCAGTTGGTGAAACTACAAGTTTTTGAAGCATGGATCAAGCTTCTTACAATGTATAACACCATCCCGTGTAGTGATTATGATAATTTCGAATCCATTAACTTTTCCAATGTATTTCTACTATAAATCATTTCACTCTATTGTCTCCAATGAATTATTTACTCATGGTAAGTAATCTAGCACTATACAAAATGCATGGTAGTTCATTACACTTTCTGCAAAATGCACCATCCTTTTCTATTGTGCCGACGAATTAGAAACATTCTCTCAGCTGTTTGCTTTGTATTAACTAACTTCAAAAACAGCTTTTGGTCCCCCTAGTGACTGCATTCAGATATGAAGGAGATGACGTCAACATGACTTTAGCAAAATCAGAAGCTAAGCTACTTCACGAGAAGATATCTGAAAAGGCTTACAATAATGAGGAGATTATCAGGATTTTGACTACAAGGAGCAAGGCACAGCTCAATGCAACTCTCAACCAGTATAACAATGAGTTTGGGAATGCTATCAACAAGGTATGTTGCAGTTCACAACTTATGTTCCAAAAACAAGAGTGCAAGTTATTCTGCAAACATGGAGTTTGCTGATGTGTCTGAATACTTTAGCTGAAATGTGCTATTAAAATATACAGTGGACCTGTTTTATGCAAATTATTGTATTGATGTCTATGCCTCTTTATTCATAGACTCAAAGTTAATTCTGCAAACACTGGGTCTGCTGATTCGTCTGAATAATTTGGCTGAAATTTGCTGCTATAAGACGCATACCTTAGTGGAACTTTATTGATCTTCTGCGCAAATTAATGTCTTGATATCTATGCCTCTTTATCCATACAAGTCTGATAGTACTCATAGGACTCTATTCGACACTTATGGCATTTGCCATATATATTCAGTAATTGTCTTGTTCGTGCAGAATCTGAAAGATGATCCTAAAGATGAGTACCTCAAATTACTTAGAGCGACAATAAAGTGCCTGACGAGTCCCGAGAGATACTTTGAGAAGGTTCTTAGATTGGCTATCAACAGAGTGGGTACTGATGAATGGGCTCTCACTCGTGTTGTGACTACTCGAGCTGAGGTTGACTTGCAGCATGTCAAAGAAGAGTATCATAAAAGGAACAGTGTCCCCCTGGACCGTGCAATTGCTGGAGACACTTCTGGAGACTATGAGAAAATGCTTCTGGCTTTAACAGGGCATGGAGATCTTTGAGTAGCTCCTTGTTCTGCACTTTAAGAGCTTTTTATGTACGAAATACAGTCAGTAATAAGTGTTTAAAGTTCCATGACTTTGAAACATGAACTTCTGCTGGTTTGGTCAGTTAATGGCCAGAGAAACTGTGTGCTGTTATCTATGATTGGTTCAGAGTGTCCTTCAGAATTCTCTCTCTGGCTTGCACTTTCTGGTTAAAAGTCAAGCAACATTTATTACGCATTACCTTAAAAAACTTGTTTGTAGGTAATAACCTCAATTAATTGATGGGATTGACAAGGCCAGTTAATATTTGAGCTAGAAATGATTCCTCCTTACTGATCATTCATGAAAATGTACTGATCATGCAGAACTTAGTACTGAGGTCTGCAATCAGGTTAAGGCCAACCAAATTGAAGCAAATGTACTACCGTATGTGAAAACTTATACTACCATGCTGTGTAGGCTTCATTTACTGATGCAGCAAATGGGAGGCAAAACAGGATGAGATTTTCCCCAGGACTTTAGAGAAAGAGACCTGTGAAACTCCTTCACCTGCTTGAATCAACCATGATCAGCTTGATTTTCTCATAGGTTGTTTCTCTCTCCATTCGAGAGCTCATTCGGCTCAATCCGCAAAATGGACCTCAAAGGCAAGTATGATACACTCTGTCACTAGGATGATATACTTGTATTTCTCAAAACGCAAGTATGATATACTTGTTACTGGTGGAGTTTGAAGACACTGAACGAATGGGTTTTCTATGATTTTATTACCCAAACTTGATTGCTAAACCAGCCTGGGAATATATGGTCAGATTTCCGATTTGTGAATATTCTGAGACTAGCATAAATACAATTAATATACGCACCATTTGCATCAACTTTGCACCGTCATTCACGACACAAACAGAAGTGACAATCTTTTTTAAGCCCACTCAGATTGGCAATTGGCAAAGCTGGCATGTTGACACCAAAAAAAAAAATTCTCCGTACTAGTGAGCAAATAGTGACAAATCAGAGGAGGGAAATAATAAGTTCGAACTTATAATGGTTTAGCTTGCCCATGGTTAACTCTCAGATAAATTTTGAAGGTTCTGAAAACGAAAGATCCTGAAATTGTTCTTATCTCATAATCCATACATTCAAAACCTATAAACTAGATTCCTAATTACTCACGAACCACAGATGTTCCTCCACAAAGTACAGGACACAAATTGTGGAGGAACATAGAGAGAGCTATTGGTCCTAGTTATTAAAACTTCCAGTTGCATGCAAATAGTTAGACCAAGGCAATGCTGCTCTCACCACCAGGGGGTTTGCGCACTCCACCCAAGAAGTCTCTAGCTTCAACCTTGCCATCAGCAAAAATATTGTTGCCACTCATTTCTTTCAGCTTCGCTGTGCTCAGATGCTTTTCAGCAGAGCCTGGAGGAACATCTCCTTTGAAAATGTCATTGCCAGTCAACTCTGCAAATTTGTGGTCATGTAGTTTCTTTGAAGTCTTGACAACTGGTTCTTCACCAAACAAGATGTTACTTTGACCGCCAGCAGGCTACAAAAGTTCAAACAAGACCATAAAAATTCCAGCATTTTGGACAACCAGTCCGAAAAGAATAGACTTTAGGTAATAGGTTGCAAAGAAACTGTCAAAAAAATTTCCCTAAATATAACAGATCCAAAAGCTGATATAGACATCATAATGACAATACAAATGCAAAATGCTATCCTAAAACATTCAACACAGAGAGAGAGAGAGAGAGAGAGAGAGAGAGAGAGTGAATGTGTGTGTGTGTGGCTGTTTGTTTGTACATGTGCATTATCAGCAGGCCATACGGGGTACAAGAACGAGAGATAAAGAGGAGAAAATGGAAGTTAATCTAACAGATGAGTCCCACGAGTTAACTTACATTAGAAACCTTGACTGATGTTCGTAGATTTCGCGGTGCAGGTTCTCCCATGTCCTTGCTTTCTTTTGCTTCCATAGAGCGCACAGCAGCCAATGATCTGGAAGGAGCTTCAGAAGGAGGGCCAAAGATATCATTACCGCTTAGTTCCTTGTTCTTCGCATCAGACAGCTGCTTCTTCATCTTACTATCAGCTTCGCTTTCCAGTGTTCCACTTAACTCCCGCTGCTTTGCAACCTCAGTAAGAGTTGTCGGCTTCTTTGGAGAAATCCTTTCTTCAGTACCAAAGGAGATCTGGCTGATTCCATTTGCAGCTTGCTAACAACAATCAAGAGCAATTGCATTCGCAGTCAAAAGACCTGTTATGGGCATCATGGTTTATAGAAGAATATGGCTGTATGGGCTTCATTCAGCCAATGGAAGGGATTCAGGCATGCTGAGAATACAGAGTTACTACAATTACATCTACAGATACCTGAACCATACGTACAGATGTCCTATTATTAGAAGAGACATGACCATTTCCAGATTCTGATGCACCATCTTCACTCTCTCCAGAAAATATTTTGCTTCCAGTAATCTCCTTCAACTTATATCCTGAGCATGGTTTCCTGAACACACGAACAAACCGCAGCAAATAAGAGCTCAAATGCTAAGAATCAAGGTTCCAAATTGCACTATGCAACGATGCTAAATCAATCATGAGCGTCTGGCACATTTTAACAATTTACTTTTGAATATACTACATTTTAGTATGCAAAAGATGAAAATGCTTGGAAAGAAATGGACCAGATGATGTTTCCACAAGCCTAATGACATGCTCAAATTGTCTGTTCTAAACTGACTGCCATAAAATTAAACGAACTTTCACCTTTAGAAACTCAAGCTTTACAAACATCTTGACAAGAAGACTTTGACCTTTCATGTTTCTACATGGCAACAGAACCTAATGACATGCAGTTTTTAAGAGTTCGAGCGGCTCATATAGCACCTTGGAAAGACTTATACACAAAAAGGAAAAAAAGCAGGGATTATGGTGATTGGTTAGCATTGATATATAGTGACATCACATTGACCAGTAAAGGCAACTTATTACGTATGTCACTTGGATATACATCAGCAACAAAAGCCAAGACCTATGCTTATATTGACATGCAAAAATATTACCTTTGCAGAAACAATTACCTAAACATCTTATCTTGCTATTGCAAAGCATGATTCTTGACGGGTGTTAAAGAGTCTAGCCATACACACATGCACACGCAAGTAAAACACAAGCATCTCCCTGATTGCTACAATGCAACATTCAGATAGACATAGGATACTAGCAATCAAGAACATTCAGCCAGGTTAGCTTTTGGTCAAAACTTGGCATTCCAATTATAAGTATCATTTTTTAAATCGAAGAACCACATATTCCAGAACCACTTGCCATTGACCTCTTGAATGGGAAATGTTATTTGCACTCTATTTTTTGTTATGTGCACCCACCATTTATTTTATCATATAGTCTAATAAATGAAAACTATATGATTAAAATGATATTGGAAGTGTGATTAACAAAAGTGGGAGTGCAAATAACATTTTCCAAAATTGTACTCCAGTTGTTAATCAAATAATCAAAAAGCCAACAAAAGTTACCCCCATACGTATAGCTGTATTTAAGCAAAATATCTTCCAAAGTACGAAGTAAGCTACATTAATTCCAGTTAAAGAAAAAGTCACAGGTTATATCAAAGTGAAAAAGTAAATTAGGTAGTAAGATTCAGAAAACATGTAAGTTCAACCAAATATGTAATATTTTCTGTTTATATTCTACTCATAAACCAATATTACCCAAAATATTTCCCAAAAAAGGAAAGCCATCGGAGAAAAAAATAAATCTTTAAAATAGATGCATAATACAAATAATTTCACTGCTGAAACAGTAATTATCTACTAAATAAACATAAAAACTGAAGCATGGACTCACAGATCCATTATACTATCATCCAACTTCTAGTAAATTAATACAGGAAAAATGCAAATAAGAAAAACCCAAAAAAAGAAATAGGGGTCTAGATTCTTGACAATGCAAGTAAAGTTTCAAACTTGACATCTTAATTTGCATCTCAGTGCAACTTCTCCTGAATTATACAAGCAAAAACAAAAAAAAGAAAAAGAAAAAAGATATGCATCTGATTACAATAACCTTCTGTTGAGACTTTCAGCTTCCTCATCAGTGATCTGTCCTCCAAACACCACCTTACCAATCCCATCTGCTGGCTACAATAATTTCAACCAGAAAAAAAGAAAAAGAAAAACATTAAAAAGAGTACAATTCTAAATCTCCGGCTACAATGCAGTGCATTTTAAAGTTGCTAGTTAAACAAGAAGGTGTACCTGCTGGGGACGAGTGGCAGAGCGGGAGACATTGGCAGAGGCGGAGGTGGAGGAGTCGGACGGAGGCGCCTCCGACCATGTCAGCAAGTCGGCCGTGGAAGTATGGGGCTTCCGGGCAGGCGTTACTCTCTCCATTTCTTTTCTTTTTTTTTTTAATCCCTTTCGTCTCTCTCCTTTTTCTGTGCTTTTTGTTTTGAACTGAAAGTCTGAAAGGTTTAGTTGAAAATATCCGGAGAGCTGTTGTAGACTGTATAGACAGTAGACACCACAAAGAAAGAATATCTGAATCTATCGTTATCAGTCTTAAAATCTTACTTAACACGTGTACTTATTAGGTCCCACCATTTAAGATTCTTCATTTTCATTTTCTTCGTTTTATTTATGAATCGATAACATTGGCAAATAGTTATTGGGCATTATTTTTTCAATTTTATTTGCTTACATCATTATTACGATTTTCAATACACCTTTTTATCTTTCCAATTACCTTTTTATCTCACATACATCACATCACAAAAAGTATTACAGTAGAAATATTCCAAATAACTTACAATCCAAACAAACCCCATGGTTTGGGAAGTTCATTTTCTGCGAAGAGTTCACTTAAACTATGTGGCTTTAAAAATATTATAGATATGTCTTTTATAGATACAAATATCGTAATTACATTTTAATTTTAGAGCAAAAAATTTCAGCAGCTATTAAATTATTACTAGTGTTGACTTTTGACCATCAAATAAATTTTCATCGTAAATTAACAACTAAACTAACTAATCATCACAGCTGTGGCCATTTTCATGGATTTTGGTTTTTAATCTACAAAATAATCAAAACACCCATCGTTATTTTTGTCCACCAGTAACTCAACCGTATACTCTTGCTTCATTAAGCTCCAACGAATAA